AGAGAAGCTTTATGTTTTGAGAGAAGGATCTCCATTTCTCTATGGACCTGTTTCTTCTCTTGCATTGAAATAAAGGGTTGTGACATAAGATGGAGGCTTTCCCACCCGCTAACAAGACTATAGAGAGGTATCGTTGTCAGGCAACTACCTCAAAGGTTACGCAAAGAAGTTAAGTTGCATTGGCTTTTAAAATTTTCAGCAAACTTTTAATATTCACCCAAAACACATCTGCTATGGTGACATTTCTGAACAGGCCAAGATATTCTGAAAAGCTTTTCACACAGTCTCAAGTATAAATATTTTGATACAAAAAAAAAAAAAAAAGATTAAAAAACCCTCCCAAACCAACCCCTTGTGCTCACATTCAGTGGTGCACCATCGTGCCGTGAATGAACACGGCCTCTTCCCTCCACGCCCAGCCAGACTACAGCTGGAGGAGACAGGCAGCCTTAGATGCTTCCCATCCACATTGCTCTTTTGTCTTGCCAGTGTGGGGAATCCAGGATCAGAAGAGTCTGAAAGGTGTTGAGGTGACCTTACTGTCTTTGAAGGTGCTTAGAGGTGTGGGAGAAGGAAGGAGCTAGTGAGCCTCTGGTGGACACAGTAATGAAGGAACCGCCTCCACCGGCAGCAGCTCCAGCAGCAGTTCCTTGTGTTTTAGGTGCTAATGACATTTTGCAGCTTCAGTTGAGGACGTGGAGACCAGAGAGCTGAGGAGCAGGGGCACATCTCCTGGGGCTGGCGTTAACGGTACTGCCTCGCGTTGTACAGAGCCCCAGCTGTCGGCTCACTGCACGTTATCAGGACTCACCCAGCACAAGTCTAGCTCAGGTGCGTGTTCACTGAGACATCGTGAGGCCATTCGCTGGCTCGGCAAGCTGAGCTTTTTCTCTTTCTATGTGGTACGGCAGCTATGGATAAACCCGACTAGCAGCAGCATCCTATCCTATCTTGTCTGCAGCACACACTCGAGAGATCATTACTACATTTCACCTACTTACTGACAAACGCGTCATGCTTACAATAATAAGCTGATCAGAGGCTTTGACGTTTTACACTCAGCTTCTGAGTTGATTTTAAGTCACTTTGACTTTTAAATTAAATTATCTCATGCTTAGAAACAAAAGATGCAGAAGAACACAGCAAGGATTCACAGAACTCGTAATCAAGTAGTTATTAACACATATATATATATATTAAGCTTTAAATCAAAAACAAATCTTTCCTTTTTTTTTTAATATATGCCCTTTATACAATGTCTGCTCTACTGTTATACTTCTTCCCTTTTAAACAAATGCAGGTAGACTAGACTCTTTAAAAAAAACACAAGCTGGCCATAGCACTGTGGCTGAGCTGCCCTCCGTTATAAGTGAAGGAGTTCCAGTTTTGTTACATTAGGAAGGAGGGAACTAATATTGTTTGGGGATCTTAGATGATCTTGTTCTCCAGGGCTTCGATCCTTTTTGCCACAGCTTCCAGTGAGCAAGAGTTAAGGGGAAAAAAAATGACAGTGCACATTAGCAATTCATTGCTCAAGTCCTCCCCTGGCTTGCAGAACAGATGACCAGTGGAGCTACCTTGCTGGGAGCAGGCAGCAGAGGAATGCTGTCATCATCTGCTCTGGCATTTCCAGAAACGTTCAGGTTGATGAGCTTTTATTGAAAGTAGAACATGTTCATGCATGTACACATACTCACATGCACCTATACATTTATTATGAAAGGAAGAGTAAAAACTGAGAATGATTGGAGTTTCGAGTGGCTGACAGAGAATTCCTGACCTTGAGCAGTACGGGTTGCATGAAGAGTGGAGCAGAGTGCTTCTCTTAGAGTTATACAGTGGGTGGCAATTTTCTGCTCTTTTCACTAATTGCTTTTCAAGATGTGCCTGGGAGCAGCAACCCACTGTGTGAGAACTACTGGTTTACTCTGACTTTTTGCATAACCTAAGTCATGGATTTCATTCAATTTGAGTTAAAGAGTAGAAAATACACTGTGCAATTGACATAGCAAAGCGCAGAAACGTGTCAATAAATTAGAACATGGCTTTTAAAATTACACTCTTTTCCTTATTCTCAGTAATGAAAAATCTCCAGGGCTCTGCGTGAGCCCACCCCAAGGTTTCACTAATTTCTCTCCCCATGAGAAGTTTGAATTTTATTCACAACTTTTTCGGTTTTCTTGTTTCTCTTTCAGCCACTTATTCATGGTCTTTGTGCGACACGACAAGACCCAGCATGGCAGAAGGCAGTCCCACAAACTCAGTTCGGAGGGGATCCAACTCACCTCACTGGAGATGATTGCATGAGACTTAAGTCTCCCAGAGCTGAGTTTTAGCCACCTGGGAGAACTTGGACCTACCTGTCTGACTCTCGGACCTATCCATCTGAATTTATCCAGACCACCAACTGTACAGTAGGAGGTGGTTTGCTGTAGAAGACCCTCATTCCCTGCAGTGCTGTGGAGGAATTTAGGCAGCCAGCTCAGATGTTTACATTGTAGATATTTACTGTCATAAAAAGAATCCCATCCATGGAGCTTTAACGACTGAGTGAAATAGCTGCACGTGTGCACCAGAGGTTTTGTCTGCTCACCGTGCAGTGTTAGCCACTGCTGCTTCCAGCCCTCACATTCTGGCCTGCTTCCCAGGACCTGCAGCTTGCAGACGCAGCAGCATCCCCTCATGCATGACCCACGCTTCCACACATGTGACATTGGCATCATTGAGGCATCTTTCTAAAAACTGGCCTAGGCCTTGGTGCCTACAGCTCACTGCTGTCTTGCAATGGTTTGACATGTTCTACTTTGGCTCTGTAGCTTTTGGTCTACTTATTCTGTGCCAGACAAGTAGCTATTCACTCTGGTGCAGGGACTTTTCTTTTTACACACGTTCATAACCCAGGTGTCTTGTGAACACCTACTCATCCTCCCTCCCCCACGAGTAGACTTTCCCCACTGGTCCCTCCAGAAAAGCACAAACCAACCCACTGAGTTCAGAACAAAGACAGTTTCTGAAGGATATATTTCTGCTGCAATGAATTTATGAGGTCTTCTACTTTTGTCTGGAACTTCACAATAGATTTACATTCACATGGATCTTCCTCTGTGGATCAGAATATCAAGAAGATGAGTTAACTGTCACAAAAAAAGGATTACATCAAAATCACAGAGACAAGTGAAATAAAGCAATTCTTGTTTATCAGAAACAGGAAGGAAGTAAAAATATCATTCTTTCTAATTATCTGACTGATCACTTCTGGCTTTAACCTGGGGTGACTAGAGAATCTCACATTTTCTTGTTATGTAGGCCAGGTTCTGTGCACAAAAAGTCTTTCCTGGATTTCCAGTTTCCTGAAAAACCACTGAGCTTTACTACTGATGCTTAAAATTGGCTCAAAAAATTTGAATCTGACCAAATACAGTGCTCAAAACCACCTCTGTCTTCTCAATAACATCACCGTGGTGGGCCATACTCTTATTTTGCGAAATAAAAATTGGAGGCACTGTCTACTGTCTGAGAGTCAAGACTTGTTCGAGCTTTGCTTCAGTAGTCCATTTCTTGAGTAGGTGGAGCAATGTGCATTAATCAGTTTGCTAATCTATGTCAATAATTTACATATGTTCTTCAAGAAAAATTAACTTAAACTGGAATAGGAGGAAAAAAGGGTACGGAGATGACTGGCAAAAGAAAGGAGATGTTTACAAGACCACACTGAGTCCGCTCAGCTGCCTAGCAAATTGGAGGAGTAGATAGGAGAAGGACTTTTTAAGGGAAAGAACATCACTTGCACAAAAGCCACAGCAGGATTAAACCAGTCATGAGTAAATTAAAGCTGGCTATTAAGAGAAGATTTCTAGCCATCTGTTGATAAATACAAGCTGGCACTGGAAATCAAACAAAGACAAATAATTATTTTCTTTTCTTTTCTTTTTTTTTTTAAACTCATATGTTAAGATATTTACCAAAATTGATGTTTTTGCAAACAAACACTTTTTCCAAAAATTATTTTTACTTTTTTTTTGAATGCCGAAGCCTAAATGTATTTACATTCTTGGAAGATATTTAAATACAATATGTTGGGGATTTTCATACAGCTCCCATGATGTTCTTGGATTGACTCCTACTTTTTAAAGTAGCCATGGCAAAGAGAGTCTCTGTCTTGCAAGCCTGGCTACCAGGCTGTGCAGACAGAAGACCCTGGAGGGTGTTGTCCCTCTCAGACTTCTCCAGGAGGAAAGGAAGGTCCCACCTTTAGGGATCTGGAGAACAGGGCACTTGTGAGCATGACCCAGGACAGCTGTAAGGATGCAAGAAACTGAACCTGATTTTCCTGAGGCAAGGCCTCTAACTGCCTGAGTACTTTTGCTGTCTGGGGTACACTCAGGGAGAAGAACAGATGAGCCACCTACTGCTAATCCAGTAATATTTACATGGGTATCTCTCTGTTTTGACATAAATAATGTTAGAAATTGCAAAGAAAGGGAAAAATGAGATTTGGCAATGTGTATTATTTCATCCAGTTGAAGCTGTAGAGTGTCTCTGCATGCCGTGGGAGCAACGGAGATCTCTGCATCACATGGGGCCGTGGGGCACTCAAGTGCAGGTCTTCACACTGGTGGGAAGTAGAGCTGAGTTTGGCAGAGCTCTCTTGGGAACTGAATGAGCCCATCGGGGCTGTGTGCAATGTATCTTGCAACAGTCCCCTAGCAGGATAAAGGAGGCTGAGCACCCGGGCTTGGCAAGAGAGTACCCGATGAGCCTCAGAAGTGCCGCAGGGTGTTCAATGTCTTAAATGAAGCCTGAGTGTTTGGGATTCACTGTAACCTACCTGATCAAGAAGATTGATTGCAAAGGGCTAATATTTCATAGGAGGCATATGATTCCTTTAAAACAAAAACCTAAAATAACCGTGGTAGTTCTCTTTTTTTAATCGTTTTTAGACTCGGGTTACTTACAGGTCAATATTCTTTAAATTTTATGTTATTCTTTACCTCCTCTTGTCGTGCCTGTCTCCCACTGAGTCCTCTCTCAGCCTTTGCTTCACTAGGCTATCCAAACGTGAGCAACTTAGCATTCATGTTGCCCAAATTTAGAAACCTACAAGTCATGTAGAAGATACTAGCTGCTTATTTTGACCTGAAATGTGTCGTCCCTGTGGTGCCTGTTGGACTGTAGAAGCAGCCAGTGGTTAGTGAGCTTAAACTCAGGTGCCCAATTTTGTGATGATCTTCAACTTAAGCTAAATAAATCAACCCTTACCTTCTCTTTTAGAATTATTAAGAATTTCCTTATGTTGCTTTTAGCTATTCTCAGGACCTGGTACAGCGTGAATTAATAATTTCTGAAAAGGAAGGCAGAGAAGGGGAGAAAGATGGAGAAAAAAGGAAGGAGAAGGCAATTTGTAAGAGGGAGAGATGGCTGAGGTGTAGGGGTGGCTGTGGTTCCCGTAACAGCCCAGAATGTTGATGTCTCATGATCCTTCCACATACTCTGCCAATTCAATACGCTGAGAACAGAGAGCTTTTTGTAACATCCATCTGAAGGGGCATTTTTGTCCTTCTGCTTCCAACCTTCTAATGCTGTGACTAAATCCCCCCTCTCCCCAATCCCCCACTCTTACCAATGCAGATTTTCATTTGTAGCTTCTTCCCAATCTTGCTGATGGTTCTGAAGTCAGCTGTGTAGAAGTAGTGCTCAGCTACTGGTTCTGAAGCAATTTCCCTCAGCTCGTCCTCAACGGCATTGCCAACTCCCACAGCAAACATCCTAAAGCCTGTGAGCAATGGGAGCCTGTCAGTCGGACAGCCATGGAGCACCTTGCTGCTATGGTACCCACCCCCTGTCAGTTTGTACATCCTTGCTCACCTTCTGGACCCCTGCTCTCCACACAGCTCTGCAGAGTTAAGTGGGAAATTAACCCACTTACCCTCTGCTATTACCGATTTCTTTCAGCCGGGTCAACCAGGGTTCCAAAACATTCGTGCAGGCAAAGTCTTACTAGAATTATCCAGACAATGACGACTATCACCACAAGAACAATATTTTGGAGATACAAGACGGGACAGTAGATCATAACACCCTGACAGGGTCATGCATCCAACTAATATGGAAGAGATAATACAGTAGAAGGAAACAGCACAAGTTTTCAAAATAGCCTGCAGCCACCATTAATCAGCCTAGTGGCAAAGTCCCCTGTGCAATGGAGACCTGTGGTTCAGCAAACTTGTAGCTGAGTATCCTTCTAAAATCACAACTCATATATCCGTCAAGAACACCCCATACTGTGAGTTGAGAACATGTCCAGGTACTATGCTTCACTGGCAAGAGATTGATTGGCCACCTCTAGCTTAAACCTGTTTCTATTGAACAGAACTGCAGGTTTGCCATTGACTGGAATGGTGATACTAGTTAAATCCTGTTTCAAAATATTTGTCTCTACTTGTCCATGTCTAGGCAGTGGTACTACTTTCCTTTCTTCCCCTTTTTGCCTTGTTTTTCTACCTCTGGATGTACCCAGTATTTGTCTTTTTCAAAGTTCAGCTCAAGGAACATGTTTGGAGTCCAGTTATAAGCATCTTGTTGTTTATCCCTGAATTTCAGCTATTTATCGCTGAAATAACTTATGAACAGATGTTGGAGATTTCTGTGTAGGAACAAGAGAGGAGGAAGAAACAAGGCATAAATTTTGATCATCACAGAGGAATAAATTCTATATATCTATAGATACTGTTTATAAGGACCTTTGGTTTTATAAAAGCTGAACATCCCCATAAGATGTCAACTTGCTTTGTAAACATCAGCTTTTGGTGAGCTCGTACCTGACCTTTATTGTTATGTGCTAGCCCTTAGTCCCATCTAGTGGTCGAAACCGAAGTTAAAAGGAAGTCAAGGATTTAGCAATTCATGAGCTTATTCACATGGGCTGCATCCATTTAACACAGAGATGTCAGGAGACTG